AATTTGGAGAATCATTAGTTCACTACATGACAACGTTAAATCTAAAGTAAAAATTGGGGAAAATATGACTAAGGAATTTCCAATTCATAAAGGCGTTAAACAAGGATGCGTGCTTTCTCCCATTTTATTTTCAATATTTATTAATGAATTTGTTAAACTTCTTCGTGAAAGCAACTTAGGTGTGAATATGAATGGTATTTGGATATGAGGGCTCTTTTGGGCTGACGATGTAGTTTTAATAGCTAATAGTGAAAATTAAATGAAAAAAATGTTAGAAATTGCAAGTAGATTTGCCAAGGAATGGAAGATAGGTTTTAATCATGAAAAATCCAATATTATGGTCGTTGGGAAAAGAATTAATAATAATAAAGAATGGAAATTAGGCAACAAGTTTATAAGTGAGGTAAACAGCTACAAATATTTACGCGTTTATATCTCTTCAAACCTAAGTGAGCATACTCAATATCAGCATGTAATTCAAAAGGGCAATCGTCTTATTGCTTATATTAAAGATATTATAGCTAATCTAAATAACATTAATCGTCTTTATTATGGAAATATTTTATGGAAGACTATTGCACTTCCATCAATAAATTATTCATGTAGCATTTGGTTTAACAAATCCAAGAAGGATATTGAAGATCTGGAGAAAGTATTAATTCAAATGGCCCGTTTTCTTTTAAAAGCCCCTCAGTATACACCCAAAGAGACTCTTTATCGAGACTTAGGATGGGTCCCCTTATCTCAAACACATGAAGTGACCAGAGTTAAATTGTTTAATCGCTTTATTAGCATGGAAAATTACAGGTGGCCTAATATAGTGCTTAAATGTATGCTTCAACTTGAATACGACTTTAATATCTTAAAATATAAATTTCTTATTAGTTGTGTAGATACTTTTGCAAAATGTCCTGATATTGATTTTTATAATCATGTTTTTGATTTTGATAATTTAATGTGTAATTCTTTCTCTGTCAATATTGTAGAATTGTATCAGAATGGTATAAATCAGAGTGGTCAAATTGCAAAAACCTTCATTAATTAATTATTCAAGACTTCAAGTTTCTCCTAAATTACAAAAAATATTTGTTGGACAAAACAAATTTTCTTGGGGCAAGCCTAAAATTTAAATTAAGATCTAATACACTACCCCTTGATTGTACAACGTGTAAATGGTCAAATGATGTTTCAGGCATTTGCACCCTATGTGAAAGTGGAGAAATTGAAGATGCCAAGCATTTTTTTTACTTATAATATCCCGCTTATAATATCGTTAGAAAACAACATTTAACAAATCTTGAAAATGACCTTCTACTCTGTAACGATTATGATACATGTACACTTTTTTCAACAACAAATGACGATATTAAACTTCAATATGTTTTAGGAGGAGATTAAGTTTTTATTTGTGATGAATCTACCTCTATTTTTGATAATTTCTGTAAAAAATACATCATGAATGCTTGGGAGAAACGCTCACAACTAAAAAATTCACAACAATAGTTTACTGTAAATGTATCGTTGCTTATCAAATTGTGTAATGTTAATTTTTATTTTATTTATTTTTTTTTTACCACAAGTGGACTGTACATCGTAGTCTTTATTCCTTAAAGTTTAGTAGGTCTACCTTGGTATTATCTTTTTGTTGTAAGACTTTTACATCTTTAGATTTTATATTTTGTAGGTTAGTTATTTTAAGCATTTACTTTACAGTTGACCTGTAAATATTTCTGAGTATGAAATGCAATGTGAAATGTGATCTCATCTAATTTCATATGTTATTTTTATACCTTTCTTTAATTTTGTAATATTATATACAGTCGATTGTTATTTATTTTGTTTGTTAAATTTTTCCCTTTTTTTTTTGTTTTTGTTTGTACGAACGCACCAATTTTCTATTGAGTGCCACCGATTCAAAGGTGTATGCTCAAATAAATAAATAAATAAACTGTGAACACAAGTCAATCAAACAGAAGTATGACGTCATACCCGTGAATTGGACTATCACGCTTGAGAGATTTTTTTCCCCATGAGAGGCAATCGTGGATTGGATGGATTTCATATTTTCTTATTTTCCGATAAAACTACCCAACCAATCATACTAAGTTTTATATCAGCTTCAAGCTTATTATATTCCCTCCTCGAATCCACTTGGGCCAATTCGAACAAAGCAATAGGCTGTGAGTGAGGGAGTAAGAAACGAGCTCAGAACAGTCAAAAACCTAAAATTTCTTGAAATTCCCTGTCTAAATCGGCGTGAGGAGCTGTTATAAATTGGTGTATTTTCCGACAAAACTGTAGGGATTTTTTTCATTTTTTCTTCACGAATTGGTAGATTAATATTTTTTACAACATAATCCACTTGGGCCATTACAAGAAAATCATAAATTTTGTACCAAAAATGTATTTTTGTGAAAAAAAATTCAGTTTTCTCCAATGGCTAAGGCGACCTTGAAGAGGAAATGATACAACGTTTCCATATGTGAAGACCAAATGTTGCTTTAATAAGCTTATTCTGTGTAGTTTCTAATTTGTTCAAAAAATTTGTACTGGCGTTAATACACTGACAGCCATGGATTAGAATAGGGACCAACACGCTGTTTAGCCAAATAGATTAAATATGAATGGAGATGACAAACCCCCCTGTCTTGTGCCTTTACGGATACCAATTTTTCTACTTAGGGAACCACCCCACTTCACCTTCACCGTCAAATTTGTGTACCAAGATAGTAAGCATCTCCACCATGGATCATCAATGTTGTCACCTAATTTTTCAAAAATGACATCATGTGGGATTGCATCAAACGCGCCCTCGGCGTCTAGAGAACACGAAAATACATTGCAACCTTTATTGATGCAGTAGCCGAAGACGTCATTGACAGTGGTGCCAGCCATGGCTGTTCCTCTACCATAAAACCAAATTGTAAAGGGTCAAATTCAAAATTACCATACGATTCATGAAAACCCAACTCGAACATTTTTGAAATGATACTAGAAACAATAATTGGCCTGTAGTTTTTAGGCTGTGATGGATCAATGTTTGGTTTTTTTAAGAATAGGTATGAGGTTACCTTCATGAAATTTAATGGGAACAATGCCCAATTGTAAACAAAAATTAAAAATACTAGCCAACACATCAGGTAATTTAGAGTTGATACTATGTTTCAAATGGTTTGCGGAAATTCGGTCAGGCAATTGGACTGATTTTGTATTAAGTAATGTAATTAGCTTTTAAATTGAGAATTTGTCAAAATTTGAACTGACGAAAACAGCCTGCTTTAAGGTCTGGGCTTTACACTTAATAAATTCTGTGGCCTGTTGAATTTTGTCCGACTTAAATTCGTTAACATCGAATTTGGTTTCATAGAAATCAGCTACATTCGAAAAATAATGGTTTTGGCCTGTTTTTTTTTGTTTTTTTTTTTGTTTTGGATAGGCAAGTTAGATGACAAAACAATTAAACCCCATGTAAATCATGATGGTGCAATGATTTTGGTTCTATACACCACTCTGTTATTGTGGTTTACTTTACTTTTTTTCCCTTTTTTTTAGTTATTTTTAGATAGTCTGTTCTTTTTTCAGTTCTTTGAATCTCTTTCGTTATTCCGCTATTTCAGTACGTTAACCTTGCATTTTCTGGGTGACGCTTACAGACCTAGTTTATTTTTGCCTTTTTAATCAACCTAGTATTATTATCATAATTATCATCATTATCATAATTATTAATGATTTATTATTTCGTTTTTTGTTAAAGGAATAGCCGGTCCATTATTATTCGACTCTTCTCCTCTGCTATCCTCTTCCCGGGAATTATTACAATAATGCTTGTATATATCACAAGTTCAAATCTAAAACTAGCTGCACACTTCACATCTAAATGCTACCATGTGTAAGTATACAACATTATATACACATTCATACACATAATTATAATTTTCAAGTCCCCTGTCTTTTAATGGATGTGCCACGTATGACAGTGATTAAGTTCACAGATTGGCATATCCTTGGCGCTCGTGAATAAATAAATGAAAGGAAAAAGATAATATTTTTTTAAATTTTACCATTTTGCAAAATGGTACAGCCCAAAAGTACAAGGTACACTTTTTAAGTTAATATATGACTACCTGAATGTGCTATTGTAAATTGACGCCATTTCAGGGATTTTTATGCTGCTATGTCAATATGTTCTTGAATAAAGCAGAAGTTTGAAACAGCGAAAATAAAATAAGAATTAAAATCTGTGTTACCAATATACTACAAAATCATACAAAAATTTAAATTTATACGGTTTTACTATTGAATAAAGCCAGTGAAATTATTTGATTATAAAATTAGTTGAATGATTTTTACTCTATTAATAGACGAGGACATATTTTGACCCATATTAAACCCTATTAAGATGACACTACTTTTATGTCCTATCACCAAAATAGAAAAAGACTCAATAACCATTTTGTTACAAACTAATTTAATTTTATTGTAGCTTGTTCTCAGGTCAATCGGTTAAAGATTGTGAAAATTTAATTAATGTATAACCGCATGCCAAAATTCACTAAGGAGAATATTATCCCTATTCAGGGAACATCCCTGGACCTTAAGGATCACATTTTGGTCGTCCCAAAGACGTGTTCCCTGAATAGGGGGTCACTCTATTAGCATACAATCGATCAAAGATAGCAATAGACAACATTAATGGTTCTTTTTTTCTAATTAACAGATATATGATTTGATTCTTTTCTTTGCTTAGACCTTTAACCTGAATTTAATGTTTATAAAAGTAAAAAATAATTTAGGCCTAAATTCCAGAAAACTTATATTTTCTCCCTGAATATAATTTGAATCTCATATCTTACCTTATTCTTAATGTACAAATACAGTATCACTTTAATAATTAGATGATATGGGCGTTTTAGCAGATTTTAACTCAGACAACATTTATTTTCATTCAATTTATATTAATTATTAATAAAGAAATCATCATTTGGCAGCACAGATGAGGTGCAAGGAATACAAGTCAATCGCATTCAATGTTACGAATCAATCATCGTCATCATATAGGTATATAACTTATTATATTTACAATATAAATTTGACAAACTCATGATTACTCGATCTGACGAGTTACAGTTCTACCGAGTTGTTGCTTGAGTATAGTGAATGTGTTATTTATCAGGCCTGGATCATCTGCATAGGACATGGAACATAATGTTTATGCCAATGTTACTGTTAATGTCAATGATAATTTCAATATCTATGTAAATAATCATGCTATTGGTAATGTTAATATTGTGCGCTTTATAAATCTTATTATTATTATTATTATTATTATTATTATTATTGAAATTTATCGTAAATGTTGCTAATTTTAATGTTGCTATTGTTTTTCTTTTAACTAATAAAGTGAATGATGCGAAAAATTTCCCACTCTAAACTAAGGAGAAAAAATAATTATTGATGAAAATAATTTATATATATATATATGTATATATATATATATATACATGTGTGTGTGTCTGTATAGTTGGCCTAATAAAAAAAATAATATTATTACCATAATTATAATGTAGTTGGTCTTTTGTGTATCCGAATAAATATTTAGTATTATTGTGTTTATGTTAAATTCCACTTCACGGAAAATGTATCCGAAATCATTAAAAAACACACAGTACTGTAAAAAAAGATTACAGTAAGTAACATGGTACATTAATTGTAAAATTTATTTGTATACATGTCATCAGCCGCAATTTTGAACTTTTACCTTTTTTGCAAAATGGTACAGCCCAGAGTACAAGAGGTTCTATTTTATCTATGGTACAAGTACGGTCGACTGCATAAATCCCAAAGGACGCAGCATATTGTTCGTAATCAAGAACCTATGAGAATACCACTGTTTCACTGATGTGAGTATCTGTGTTTCATAAGTATTGTGCAAAATTTATAAATCATTTTATTGTGTATCTTCCCTACGGCCAAAAGCTCTTATCATTGTCTTTAAATCTAGAATTCGAAAAATAATGGTTTTGGCCTGTTTTTTTATCTAGAATTCGAAAAATAATGGTTTTGGCCTGTTTTTTTATTTATTTATTTTTTTTTTTGATAGGCAAGTTTGATGACTAAACAATTAAACCACATGTAAATCATGATGGTGCAATGGTTTTGGTTCTCTACACCACTCTGTTTTTGTGGTTTACATTTTTTTATTTTTTTTCAAAGTTATTTTTAGATAGTCTGTTCTTTTTTCAGTTCTTTGAATCTCTTTCGTTATTCCGCTTTTTCATTACGTTCACCTTGCATTTTGTTTTACTAGGTGACGCTTACACACATGGTTTATTTTTGCCTTTTTAATCAACCTAGTATTAGGCCTATTATCATAATTATCATAATTATTAATGATTAATTATTTGGTTGTTTGTTAAAGGGAGAGACGGTCCATAATTCTTCGACTCTTATCCTCTGCTATCCTCTTTACGGGAATTATTACAATAATGCTTGTATATATCACAAGTTCAAATCTAAAACTAGCTGCACACTTCACTTCTAAAAGTTACCATGTGTAAGTATACAAAATTATATACACATTCATACACATAATTATAATTTTCACGTCCCCTGTCGTTTAATGGATGTGCCACGTATGACAGTGATTAAGTTCACTGATTGGCATATCTTGGCGCTCGTGAATAAAGAAATAAAATAAAAAAAGATAATAATTTTTTTAATTTTACCATTTTGCAAAATGGTACAGCCCTAAAGTACAACGTACACTGTTTGAGTATGTTATATGACTACCTGAATTTGCTATTGTAAATTGACGCATTTCAGTGATTTTATGCTGCTATGTCAATATGTTCTTGAATAAACCAGAAATGAATGATAACAAATAGTGTAAAAAAGCCGTTATAGCCATAAGCAAAAATTTGGAACAGCAAAAATATAATAAGAATTAAAATGTGTGTTACCAATATACTACAAAATCATACAAAAATTTAAATTAATACGGTTTTACTATTGAATAAAGCCAGTGAAATTATTTGATTATAAAAATAGTTGAATGATTTTTACTCTATTAATAGACGAGGACATATTTTGACCCATATTAAACCCTATTAAGATGACACTACTTTATGTCCTGTCACCAAAATAGAAAAAGACTCAATAACCATTTTGTTACAAACTAATTTAATTCTATTGTAGCTTGTTCTCAGGCCAATCGGTTAAAAATTGTGAAAATTTTATTAATTTATAACCGCATGTCAAAAGCCCCCACTAAGGAGAATATTATCCCTATTCAGGGAACATCCCTGGACCTTAAGGATCACATTTTTGGTCGTCCCAAAGACGTGTTCCCTGAATATGGGGTCACTCTATTAGCATACAATCGATCAAAGATAGCAATAGACAACATTAATGGTTCTTTTTTTCTAATTAACAGATATATGATTTGATTCTTTTCATTGCGTAGACCTTTAACCTGAATTTAATGTTTATAAAAGTAAAAAATAATTTAGGCCTAAATTCCAGAAAACTGATATTATCTCCCTGAATATAATTTGAATCTCATATCTTACCTTATTCTTAATGTACAATTACAGTATCACTTTAATAATTAGATGATATGGGCGGTTTAGGAGATTTTAACTCAGACAACATTTATTTTCATTCAATTTATATTAATTATTAAAGAAATCATCATTTGGCAGCGCAGATGAGGTGCAAGGAATACAAGTCAATCGCATTCAATGTTACGAATCAATCATCGTCATCATATAGGTATATAATTTATTATATTTGCAATATAAATTTTATGATTACTCGATCAGACGAGTTACAGTTCTACCGAGTTGTTGCTTGAGTATAGTGAATGTGTTAGTTATCAGGCCTGGATCATCTGCATAGGACATGGAACATTATGCTTATGCTAATGTTATTGTTAATGTCAATTATAATTTCAATATCTATGTAAATATTAATGCTATTGGTAATGTTAATGTTGTGCGCTTTATAAATCTTATTATTATTATTATTATTATTATTATTATTATTATTATTATTATTATTATTATTATTGCAATTTATCGTAAATATTGTTTTTCTTTTAACTAATAAACTTAATGATGAGAAAAATTTCCCACTCTAAACTAAGGAGAAAAAATAATTATTGATGAAAATAATTTGCCGAATATTATTGACTTATTGGCATTCTAAATCAACAGAGGGAATAGTGCGAATGAAGGCAGTTGGACCATTTTATAAACACAGATTTGTATAATTGTTTCACGACATTCTTTATTAGATACAGAAGCCCTAGAGTGGCAAATCAAGCTTGTGGGGTGGGGGAAGAAAGGGGTGGAAAGAGACCCTCATGCACTCTCCCAAAGCCCTGCAGCGGCCAAATAAATCACTAAACCCAAGTGTGAAGGTAAGATAATAATAATAATGGCGGGATGGCGCTATCCATTACAGGAATGTGTATCTTCCACTGTTGTTAGTAGGTAGTTGTCGCTATTACTAGTGACCAAATGAGCACCCTTCCCCCCGCCCGGAAACCAATATATTGATTTGCAGACCGTGTTATTTTTTGAAAGTTTTTAACATTATTTTCCCGCCTAATCTTACATTTTTTTTTTTGTAAATACTTAGTTATTATATTTCAATTATTTGTATAGATTTATATTAAAGGTGTTTATTGACATGCCTTGGACTTCGTATTCGTATAATATTCATATCGTGTCTATGTGTATTGTAACGTCATTTTATTGCCTAAATTGAATAAGTCAAATCAAATCAAAACAATATTGTAAACAAATTATTTTGTAGAAACTACTGGACGTCTAAACAGTTTAATGAGTCTGATAATTACGATTTCAACACTAGTTATTCAGCAATCAAGAAAGCGTAAGTAGAATTTTAAACATAGACAGATCTTTATTTTAGAACACTTTTGGGTAAACGGAGAAAAACGTAGTAAACCTGTGTAATATGATAACACGTATGGCGCTTCATTATTACCATCGATATATTGGCATAATATTTAGAATTGAAAAAGGGTTCAAAAATCGCTTATATTTTTCATTATATAAACGTAGTTAGATCAATTGAAAGTGTACAAGTTTTCTAGCTAACAAATTTATGTATTAACTAGAGGGCACTCTTTGAGTGGCACATCATAACTAGAGGGCACATCATAATTCTCCTCAGTATAAATTTCACCCGCATATTGTCCCCATTAAAAAAAATAAAAGAACAAGTAATCTCCATGGGATTAGAACCCGGAGCTAATAGTATGGAAAACACTCTTATAACCTCTACACCAAACTGTTTTCACATAATTACATTATTTTGAAATTAATGGTGATATGTTTGTTTACACTTTACCGACAAGCCCACCGCACACACACACACACACCCACCCACACACATACAGCAGACAGTTATACTTAATTTTTCGATCATTGTGTCCCTGACCTTTCAAAATTTAGTCACTTCCAGATCTTGGTTAAGGAACATTGTGGCCAAGTTTGACAAATTTCTCATAAAAACTGTTTCAGAAAATCATTAATTGTTGATTGTGGCCTTGACCTACCCTTCAACATTCAAATACTTTGAGATCTTTGGTCATGGAATATTGTGACTAAGTTTGACAAGTTCGTCATTATCTATCGGCTGAAGACAAAAATAAAAAAATAGTTTTTCGTTGATTGTGACCTTGACCTTTGACCCTGACCGTTCAAAATCTTATCAGACCAAGATCTTAGGTGAAGGAACATTGTAGCCAAATTTGACGAATTTCTAATAAAAGCTATGGGCTGTAGGCTGTTCACAACAAATATGCCGACAGGCGAATAAATAAATAAATAAGTAAATAAAATTATAAACAGGGTCTAAAACATAACCTCCTGCCAACTTCGTTGGCGGAGGTAATTAGATCTTTGGTCATGGAACATTGTGATAAAGTTTGACATGTTTGTAATTAAAACTATGGACTGTAGATAATAAATTTTAAAAAATAGTTTTTCGTTGATTGTGACCTTGACCTGACTACAGGTGAGCCCTCCCGACGGTTGTGTTTCATGGCCCGAAACCGATCATATGTAAACAGTAACATTAAACTCAGAATAAAGTGGTTTAAATGCAGCGCTTGGAGGTTTTGGAAAGTTTGGGTGCGCCCTCGGTGTTAAATCGAATATTCAATTTGGCCCTCCGACCGATTTTTATGCCAGGGGTGGCACCAGGATTTGCCCGACGGGAGGGCCGGGGTCCCCGACCGGGGGGGCCGATCCCCCAACGAGGGGTCAGATTTCCCCGACGAAAGCAAAGTGGCCGTGGTCGAGCTTCGATTAAAAGGTTCTAAATGTGGTCGTGGGGGCGAAGCCCCCGAAAATTTTGACAATTTTGGGGCTTCAAAGGCTTATTTAATCGATTTTATAGTCTACTAATATGTAGAAAATACATTTAAAAAAATGTATTTCTCCCTTACGAATTGTGCTTTTTTCCCCGACGGGGTGGGGGGTGGGGAGGGCCGACAGACAAATAAATAAATAAATATACAGGGGCAAAAACATAACCGCCTGCCAACTTCAAGTGGAGGTAATAACGTTAATACGATTATAAAGTTGCAGTTTACAATGCTAGTTGTTGACCTATTAGAATTTTATAAGTAACGTTGTTGCAACGTTTTGCTAACATTGTTTTCCTTATTAATTTGTTGCGTTTGCTAGCTGGGTTATGACCACTGGCACGAGATGAAAATGATAATACTAGACGCAGGGTTCCCAGAACGCCGCCCTCAGCGGCGAGTGCGAAGCACAACTCAGGGCCAAAAGTGGAACGTGAAATTTCGATATAATGGTTTCGTAGTCAGATTTGCGAGAAAAACTTCAGCTACCCGTATTTCTCGACTGAGACGTCAGTGGGAGCTGTAATTTGTATGGCAAGGAGATTGTGCAACCCTTAAGTGGTATTAAGGGAATTTACGCCCAGAAACCTTTTAGTTATTAATATTTTGGTTATAATAGAAAATATTCATTTTTGGTGACGTCACCCTCACAATAAAGCATGCATACGACATAAGCTAGATTACGTCACCTTTTCCTGGTAAGGCAAACCAGGGAGTTGTTATTTAACAACTCCCTGGGCAAACTTTCCCGGCGTGCTTTTTTCATGGATAAACAAACACCAACCACTGCTTTGCACATGGATGCCTTGCCCTAGCTAGTGCTACAAGAGCCGCATTTTTAGCATTGTATAATACGTAAACAAGGTACCTCTGCTACTGAATTCTGAATTATTCTTATTATTTGGGGGTTTTTTTTCTTATTTTAATTTATTTCTTTCGAAAGTGTACTTTCTATCACATAATTGCACTGTCTAGTTAGGCCTGGGCCTAGGCCTAGTCTTATTATGCCTCATCGTCCCCCGCCACACAGTACATCAGTAGCCCCAGCCCCTCCCCCTCCCCCACCATACAGTACAGACGTTTGCTAGGCAACAACGTGATCGCACCTTCCTTCCCAGGTGGTGTTCATGTAACATTGGCATATTGTTAGCTAACCAGTTTTGTGTATTTCTTTGTGAAAATGAGTACCGCGGCGTACTCATCTTCACAAAGCATTTGCATTCCCTCTTGGAAAGAGGGAACTCTGAAATAATTGTCTCCATATCTTCGCTAATTAAATTAATCACCGTAATTTAGCTTACACTTATGAATTAAGGGAGCACTTAAAATGTACAATAATCATTTCACTACCCAACAAACTCCGAATTAATTCATGCATTAGGCCTACATAATAGTTTCATCTTGCTGTACTATATACTCCAACATCACTGGCGCATGGTAACAACCAACTGACTGCAGACCATTTCCGGTCACACATTACTCTCCATAACACAGCATCCCCTGGTTCCGTCACCTCTGGATAAAGTAATGGTACCACAGAAGTTTATGATTGTTGATTCACTATGCAATAATTGATTAGCAATTCTATTTTGAGATTGTACTCGTTGAGACGTCTTCTTCCACACAAACTTGTATAATTTTTTTACGACATTCGTTATTAGATACAGAAGCCCTACTGTGGCAAATCCAGCTTGCGTGGTTGGGGAAGAGAGGAGTGGAAAGAGACCCTCCCTCTCCCAAAGCACTGCAGCAGCCAAATAAATCACTAAAACCAAATAAATAAATCACTAAAATAGTTTTACTAGTGATCAAATGAGGGTGTAACACTTAGCAACCAATACCCCCTCCCGTCCCCCGGCCCCGGGTGTTCACTTGCATACCAACCTTACGGGGGTGTGCAGCAGCTACTCCAAGACATGAGACACTTGCGCTACCTATTCTGTTGAAAATTATTTGGGACTTGAACTACCATTTACCAAAATCCAGTATCGGTTGAACTACTATTACGACCATGTAACCTAACGAATTAAACTTGTTCTGGTTCCCGATGGCGAATAAGACCGTAGTTATGTCCGTTCGCGATCTCTACTGTAGGTTTGGCACAGAGATTTTAGGGAAAAAAATCGTGTGAAGAATTAAATAAAATATTATCATATGAAAAATTATATAAAATTTGATGATACAGGACGGGGCAGGACACCTTAACTACCAATTTTACCTGGTATTTCCCACACTTGTGCTACCAAGTCCTCGCAAATATACCCTATACATGCTGAAACTCTTCCATAAGTTCCTACACTTGTGCTAACAAGTCCTCAAAAATACCCCCGTAAATGCGGCACCTGCCCGTATAGAAATAATTAAGAGTGAGCCCCCGGGGCCCCCGGCTCGGATTGTTTGCTAGACCGTGTTATTTTTGGAAAGTTTTCAACATTATTTTCCTTCCCGCCTAATCTTATAATTTATTTAATTTTGATTTGGTAAATACTTAATTATTATATTTTAATTATTGATATAGATTTAAGTTAAATTCTGTTAAAGGAGAGTATTTAACAGTGATTCAGTTTGCCTTTGACAATCCTTGGAATTCGTATTCTTTTAATATTCATTTCGTATCTATGTGTATGGCTATGGCCACTGGGACGAGATGAAAAGGATGATACTAGATAAAGTAATGGTATGGCACTACATGAGTTTTTTCTTTATTGTTGGTTTGCTATGCATTAATTGATTATCAATTCTATTTTTAGATTGTACTCGTTGAGACGTCTTCTTCCACACAAACTTGTCATTTTGATTGAAAATCAAACAATGAAAAAGAAGAAACTAATAACGAAACAACGAAGACAACGAATAAAATGGAGAAAAAAACAAGAACAATCAAGAGATGACTTTAAAGCGCTGTCAATTACTTTGATTCAAAATGCAAAATGGAAAGAAGTTCCAAAGATATATTCAACAGTTCCGAAAAAACGGTCTTGTGCAGTCATTGGAAATTCTGGCATCCTACTCAATAGCTCTTGTGGATGCGAAATCGATTCACATGAGTTTGTATTGCGTTCGAACATCGCGCCAATTTTAGGATTCGAAAAAGACGTTGGATACACACACGGCTTTGTTTCATTAAATCTTGAACTTTCACAGATTGCCACCTCTTGTTTAAAAAATTCATCGAATCCATGTTTTGAAGAAATGGTGAATAGGTTTAAAGTTTATGACCAATCAATAATCTGGCTCTCCAAACTTAGTGGTAAACCATCGAAGAAAACTTATCTTGGAGTATTATCGCAGCTGCAAAAACACAACATAAATCCAAAGATTGCATACCCTTTCACATCGATTGGAACACGTATTATAAGGTATTAGCGGTATATTATCGATAATATCTATCTAATATCGTAGAAGTGGTTTGGCGCAGTAGGAACGGTTTGGTTTCCCAACCTTAAGGTCGGGGTTTCAACCCCCCCCCCCCCAGCCGCTGTGCATTCCAACTTGTGGCCTTGGGCAAGGCACTTTATCTGCATTGTTTCTCTCCACTCAGGAGTATAAATGGGTACCTGGTAGGGTTAAATGCCAAAATGCGCTGATGTAGCTGTGTCTCTTATACACATCTAGATGTGTATAAGAGACAGAGTCTTAATATGCCTCATCGTCCCCC